AATTGGTTTAAATTTTTTTTAGTTTTTTAATTGAAAAAAGTTATGTATTTGCTATATTTTCGTTGAATAAAAAACAGATAAATGATTTATTTATTATTGTAGTGATTAATTTGGCTTCACATAAAAATTATATTTAAAAAAAAAAAAATTTTTCCCCAAAAAAATATTTTTTTTAAAATTAAATATTAAATTTTATGGAATCTTTATTTTTATTATTAATTTTATTTTATTAATTTTTTTAGCAATTAATTATATCATATGATGATTTTAGTAGCAGCATTATTAGCTACACAATTATAGTATTATTATTCTAGTATTATTGCTAGTAGCATTTTATTGAATTTTTTTATATGTTTATTGAATTATATATTTTAAGTGCTAAGATTTATTTGTTAAATTATTAAATATATAATTTTGATTATTAAATCTATGGGGTTTTTATGGTTGACTGATACCATACGAGTTTTTCTGCACTGAACAATATGCCTTCAATGTGCTTGTTTTGAACTTTTAGGATATTAGGATATTATTAGATATTTTAGAATATTTCAACTGACAGTTTGGTGCAAATATTACAGCAAATTATAATTAAAAAGTTTTCAATATTATTAAAAATGAAATTGAACAGCTGATTAGCCACTGCGCATAGGAGAAGGTAAATCAGTATGTGAATGAATAATAGTGCTGGAAGAAAGCACTACAGTCAAGTTAGTGTATCACAGTTTTTCTCTACTTGAGGCGTACGTACCATATAGTTGATTTAGACTATTTGAGGGAAACAATTTGAAATTACACGTAAATTGATATTGTTAAATTTGGAACAAATGTAATCAACAAGTATCGTTATGAACTTAACGAATTAATATTCTTCATAATTCCTTTAACACCTTGTGGAGCATAGGGCCTCGAGTTAATATAGTAGTCCACAAAAAATATAATAAGTATTAAAAGGGTCATTTATATAGTTTGTCTTTCGTTATTCGAAAAGAGACACATTTTCGACCTACGATCTACAGACCTTTCCGAACGTTATGTGAATATTACATGTTTAAGTTAATAAACTCTTAAATAGGGCATTTTACAAGAAAGTATGAGTAGTGCTAATATAGCAAAAGAATTTGCATATTTATGCTATAGGTTTTTAGTGTTGCAAAAGTATGGCATTTTGACATACAAATCTGTATATTTTATTTTTGTTAAGCATAAAATTGCAATAATTATTTGCAAATCCAATAATGAAATAGTATGTTATTACTAGTAGTATATACGTGTATGTAGTATATATCATAGTATTACCATTTACGAATACGGGAATTTAATCAAATTGAAATACAAATGTATGTGTTTATAATTTTTTTTATTTATCTATGTATATAAATAATATATTTTAACGAATATTATTTCATACTTCGAATATATCACGAAACCATATTTTACAGTTGATTTTTGGCACGCCTTTAATATCTGTAATGATATTTGCTCATATATCTGTTTCTCAAATATGTTTTTTGTTTCTTCTAAAACAAAATAAAAATTATTCAACGTAAATAATTTAATATAAAAAAATTTCGATTTTCTTGCATAATAATATAGTACTTACACATTTATATATTTTTATAGTTTTCAGCAGTAATTCAATCTGAGACACAAAATTCAGTCTTCTGATAAGGCGACAGAAAATCTCTTATCACTGTTTTTATTCACACTGAAACAGACTGAAAACTGAAAGATGGAATTATCAAGTTAAGTATATACAAGAGCAATGAATCTGATATACATATATGTACTTGTATATACTTGTATGTTGTTATTAATATGAGTACAATTATACTAAGGTTTATCAACTGAACCAGCATTAAAATTATATAAATGGCAATGAACAACAAATGTATTTAACATAAAAGTAAATACAAATGTTTTTGCTAAAAGTACTCGTGAACAGTTTGTTTCAATAAATTTAAAAATAAATGTTTTCATATAAGAAGTAGAATTTTATTTTGATAACTCATTTGCAGATGATCATAGACGGTGCGTATATCTGAAATATTTAAACAATATATAAGCAGGTATTTCAAGGGAAGACTGTATGTTTCTATACGAAATGATTAAGTGTTCAAGAGTCAAGCTACTAGTTCTTGCTTTTAAGTGGAATTCTTAATATGATAATAATTAACAGAATTAATTTGTGATAATGTATTTAAAACTTTACGTCATAAAATGATTATTAAGAAAATTGAGTATGAAAGTTTAAAAGCACAGAGAATAACAACAAATAAGTTATATGCAAAAATTAATATTTATAAAATGTATATTAAAATTTTTAGAAATAAAAAATTGTGTGAAACAGACGAAAAAATTTTAAGAATTCAAAAATACAATATTTAAAAATTAATTGACAACATTCTAAACCGAACAGGCAATTAAAGAAGAAGATACATTTCCAAAGAAATAATAAGTTGTCATATATAAAAAATAACTTACGTTAATACTTTTATATAATAAAATATTGAATGTGGTACACAAAAATATATTTTTATTTTGATTCTATCAATAATTAAACAAGTTTGAGTAATGCTTTCTTTATAATTTTGATGATTATTTTGATTATTTATATTATATATTAATTAATAATATTTGTTTTTATTATTTTTTAATTTTAAATAAAATTGTATATTATTTAGAACAAATAACAAATTTACAATTTTTAAAAACTTTAAATTTTGATAATAATAGTCGACTCATTTCACACTTTTTTTGCACAAGGCCAATTCAACTCATAAAATTATAATAAAATCTGAAAAGAGTTTTTTTAATTATTGACGAATACTGGTTTTTGCATTTTTAATCAAGAAGAGATGTCAGTTTTGGAGTTATAGATCCATTTCTACTAAAGCCATTTAAAAATCCTATGCAAAAGAAAAAAAATAATAATAGCAACTAATATTGCTTCATATCATTCCGAAAAATACATCCGGTATATTCCCAAAAGTACATCCGGTATATATATTTCTAAGCAAATCTTAGCACTACGTCGAACTTTGACAGTCTTTAATTAATTGCTTACACAAAGTATATCAAATTTAATTTCAAGAAAGAAAACTATATTGTTATTTAAGTACTTTAAATCATATTTGAAGCAAATCCAGTGCAGAATAAAATATATATTGCGGTTTCAATAGAAACCTGCAAGACCTATTTAACTTTGTAAGCACAGTTTAACTTCATCTATTTGAATTAATTTATCATCATATGAAAAATGATTAATATTTTAAAATATCACTTATACTATTCATTAAGTTTATTTATTAATTTAGAGGTCTCCTTGAACTTGTCGATAAAAATTTGTCCATTATCAATTTTATTACAATTTAAGATCACTAATCTATACTTTTTGTATATATAAGCTAAAGAACAATAACTATATTTGTAGCAGGTTTTTTAACAGGTATTTAGGTAGGTATAGCTTGCTGACCGATATCAAATTATATTCATTAAAAGTATAGATAAATGTTAATGATGGTATAGATTCCATAATAAGTTGTGTCGTTACCAACTTTTTAGAGATAGTTGACTACAATATCAGAGACGACGTTCAACCTCTCAAAATCGGTAGGTTCAAAGAATTTTAGTCCAATTTTTGAGATTACCAGATAAAAACAGAGAAGATATTGCAGAATTGCTTTAACATAATGAACCTTGCACATTCTGAATTCATCTCTGGTATTATAAAGCTTTTGGGCGTTGTGGTGTAAAGAGATTTTGAAAGTATGTAATAAGGCCATTCATTTATATTTCACCATATATATATAAATGTTTCTATATATATAGTAGAAAACATTCGATATTAATATTTTTGTAAAATAAGTATTTTTAAACATTAAATGTGTTCCAATAGCTCAAGTAATAAATTATGACATAATTGGAATTTATCTTAATATACAATTAACAGAAAGTAAATTATGTTTCTATATATAGTCAAACTTCCATAACTCGAAGTACCATTTTGCAAAGAAAAAGTTTTACTTATGAAGACTTCGAGTTAAAAATTTTTTTATTATTGTATGTAGTTTGCTCTCTAAATTCTGTTACACCCCATTTAGTTGGAGTTATAGAAAATTCGAATTATAGAAGTTCGGGTTATGGAAGTTTGACTGTATTATCTTTTATCTAATTAACTATTATGAAATAGATATTATTAGATATAATGTAGTGGATATAATAAAATAGATAAAAAAGATAATTTAGTAATAAATAATAGTGATAATATTGGATATAATAAAATATATACATTAAGACCGAAAAGTTTTCGGAAATTCTCATTTAAAATTCGCGCGCTGTATATTTTTCGATATTTTAAGTTTATGTAGTTTGGCAGCACTGTCCTTAATACTATGCCAAAATGAGCGCGATCTGTCAGACAGTTCGTTTACGGCAGCTGTTGAAACCAGTTCACCTCAGTAGTGCGTTGCGAAAAAAACAATGGAAAAAAATATTGGACAAAGAGTTTGCATCAAATTTTGTGTTTCGAACGAAATTTCGTGTGCAGAATCGTTGCGAATGCTACAAAAGGCTTATGGGGAATCAGTTTTATCGAAAACTCAAGTTTATGAGTGGTACAAAGCCTTTCAGGACGGTCGTACGACCGTCGAAGACATTTCGCAACGCACTACTGAGGTGAACTGGTTTCAACAGCTGCCGTAAACGAACTGTCTGACAGATCGCGCTCATTTTTGGCATAGTAATTAAGGACAGTGCTGCCAAACTACATAAACTTAAAATATCGAAAAATATACAGCGCGCGAATTTTAAATGAGAATTTCCGAAAACTTTTCAGTCTTAATGTATAATAGATAATTTAGTAATAGATTTATAAATATTAAAATAATGTTACATTTGTGCATTTAAATTTAATGAAATAAAAATTCATGAAATAGTTTACTTAAACTAAATTAAGTAATTAATTTGATTGCATATATAAAAGTAATATTATTTATTTACAGCATTTCACGAATACAAACCGAAACTATAACAGTGGTTATCATCATCAGCACATTAGTGCAGATTATGAAACTGTAATCAATTTCATAGACTCACCACCAAACTCAGAAGAATCTTGGACAGGTAAGTACTATACGAATGCAACTATTAGCAGACAAATGATGGTTTCTTTGACTAATAGACGATCGTTCCAAAGGCTCACCCGGACCACAAATAATTGACGTTCAAACAATTTATTCCAATAACGGATCACGTAAAAGACGAATGGATTGGGATTCCTTAGATATCGATCAGAGTGGAAACACAGCAACAACAGCTCAAACGGATGAAATACCAAACAAGATAACAAGTCACGATAAAGAAAGACATAAAAGAGAAAAACTTGGTGGTAAGTTATTAAAAACAATTTTTTTTTAATTTAAAATTCAATTATAAAAATAAATATAACGACTAAGATGTCGTTACTATACAGGGTGTTATAAAACAAAAAAGAATTACTGTTTTTTTTTATAATACATGTGATCGTCGTATATTAATATTTAATGTTAAAAAAGATCAAGGAATTTATTGAATGGCATACACAGATATGGAATGGTTATATACAATTAATACCCCTCATAACCCTTACTCTTTGTAATCGGTGTACACTTTTACAGATTTAGATATTAAACCTATACAAAATATATTCATTGTCTTAAATAAAAGTGTTCGAATTTGGCATGTTCACCTTTGTGCACAGAATTTCTCTGGGTTTTTAATAAGAATTAGTTTTAATTATTTTTAAAAACTTAAATTAGGTATTAAAATATTGATTGCGATTATTAATCAATATTCT